CTTATATTCGCAAACAATGTTTGGCAGTTTGGGGTCAGAGTCATATTCTGTATTTCTTACACATTCGATCCTTTTCAGGGCGTGTATAAATTTTTCATCACTGAAGAAAAAAACTAGCTTAATAAAAAGAAAATGACAGGTGAAAGGTAAAAACTGTTCATACATTTTGCTATGAAGAGAAGCAAAAAAAAAAAAAAAGTATGTTTGGATGCTGATGGGAGCCATACTATAGAGGAGAGGTGCAGGTTGAGTTCCTTGGGAAGTGGACAGGAAGCATATAAACCAACGCATATAGCACCCGCACCTGTAGAAGGGAGGAGGAGGAAGCAGGCGTGGGCACGGGGAGAAGATCAGCTATGATGGAGCCCAACATCCTTTGCCCCACTCACAAGAAGCTCTAGAGATTGAACAGCTCTTCGGAGATGTCTGAAGTTGGGCTGAGAAGAGCAAGCCTTTAGCTTCTCTTAGTCACTGGCTAGGGGTCACCTGAGAAGCAGCATACCTACCCTTCAGCCTAGCTGCTCTCTGCAATGGTGGAGAGGTGGGCTGCAGGAGACCACGTTGACAGCATGCCAGTGGCTAAGGCAGCAAGTCCTTCACTGATGCAGTGCTGGTGGCCCGTCAGTGTCCGCCACAGGGAGATGGCTCAGGGACAAGGAGATGGCAAAGGCTGAGAAGCAAAGCACTATTGAGGTTCACTGTCTGTTGGAATTAGCCTGCAACTTCCTCCCCTATGACAAGTGTGGAGTGCCAACTGGTGTGGAGGTTTGGTGGTGGAAGGGATAGATCATCCCCTGTCGGCATCTACATGATCAAAGACACTTTGAGAAATGTTATCTCTTGCAGGACAGAAGGCTAAGAAATGTTTGTCTCAGAGACTGGGAAAGCGGGCCTCCTGGGGACACTTAGGAGAGTGGCAGAGCACCTTTATGTGCTTGTAGGAGTGCGAAAATTAAAGCAGGACCAGTCATCTCTATCACGTTTCCCTCCATCAACTCCGTGGCTCAGGCCAGGAAAGTTGAAGGCAGAATTGTCCTGGAGGATTTCCAATGCTAGAAGCATCATGGAGGAAGAGAGGGGCTGGAGGTATTTGTAGGAGAAGAGGACAAATGGAGGACCACAGGTGGCTGGGGTTACTGAGGCTCAGAAGTATTCTACAGCTTGACTAGACCGGGAAAAGCAAGGCAGCTCTGGCGTATCATATGCCAGTAAATAGAGGAGCATGTGACTTACAAAGGGGCTGGAGGAGAAGAGGACACCCAGGAACGGCATAGTGCCTTGGCTCTGGTGAGTGGGAGCTGTCCTTGCCGTCCTAGGCCTGAAGAGGGAGGAGAACAATTGTAACACAACCAGGTGATTGTCAGGCTGTGCGGAGAGGACTTCCTGACAGGGGCCTGGACTTCCAGGTGAGGGAAGCAGCCAGCCCTTCAGGAGACAGCCTGCGGAATAGGGGCCTCTCCCTCAGTCTCCCCATCCTTCCATTCCCTGCCCCATTCTCTAGGAGACAAGGGAGGCTCCGGCCCAGAGAAGGATGCCGCGTGGAAGAAGAATTTGAAATCAGCCCACACCCCTACTCCTCATAACACAAGTCATCAAACCAACCTGAGTGTCAAAATCTTATTGATAGGCCAAGAGCAGTCATCCTTCGCCTGTAGTTTGCAGAGGGCTCCTCATACATGGCAGCGCTTCCTGTGACAATGTCAGGGGGTCCAACTGGGACTGGAGAGCGCACCATTCCCAAGGCGCAGTGGGAGCTCGCTCTGGGAAGCGTTCATTCCCTCTCCGCAGAGCCTTCCAGCCACTCTTGCAAGGAATTTCTCATCCCTGTCGTCGGCTTGGCCAGCGGCATTCGCGGGGCTGCGCCAGTGCCGGTCTCTGGCCAGGGGTTCCTGAGACATCGAGGAGCTCTGACGACCGCAGCCTCCCCACTAACCCCCAACAAAGGTACAGCGGGAGTCCAGGCCGAGATAAAGTTCCCTTCCCAGTCCACTGGGGAGACAACTGGCCGCGGCTGCCCCTTGCTCCGCTCCCGGCTGTCCCGCAGCTGCGAGACCGGGGCCAGAGCGCTCCCTTCCGGGCGGGCATCGGAGCCGCTGCGGCGCCGACCGCCCTTCACGCCCGGGCCGCCGAAGAAGGCGGAGCGAGCTGGCAGCTGCTAACCCCCGAGGCGCCGCCTCGCTGGCTAGGGGCGCGGGAGGAGGGTCCGGATTCCGGTGGCAGGAACGGGGGCTCTGGGCCACCGGTTCAGGCGGCCCCAGGAAATGCCTGCTTTGCGGTCCCGCAGAGGGTATGGGGGAGCTCGGCCCCGGAGGGCGGCTGTTGGGGAGGCGGAGCTGGCCGCAGGGCCCGAGCAGCTGCGGAGCCTCCCATCACGAGCCTAGAATCTGAGAAACTTCAGGCGGAAAATAACTGCAGGGATCTTTTGGCTCAAGTCTCCCATTCTACAGATGTGAAATTTTAGAGTGACCCTACTGGGGTCGCACAGAGGGTTGTTGGCAGCAGTACCTGGGGAAAGAGGGAGAGGAGAGAGCCCCTGTGGCGGCCCTGCCCTGTCCTAAAGGAGAGGGGCTGCCTCCCAGATGCCCTCAGAGGCCCTAGCTGCGCACCCCATTAGGTAATACCAAACAAATCCACCAAAATAAAACACAAACCATATAGGCGTGCTGAAATAGAATTCTCTCCTTTCTCCATTTCCAAATGCAAACATTTTGAATGAGTTTATCAGAGGTAAACCTTTCCCTCGGTTTTAGTGGTGGCAGTTTGATGATGCCCAGGGTCCAAGCGTGGGGACCCCCGCACTGCTGAGCTAAAGGTTAAAGGCAGAAGCTCAAACTGGGTTCACGGTTAATTTGGCTACCAATTCTGTCCAGGTTTGAGCCTTGGGTTCTGCATCTGCGGAATGGGAATATGGTTGGGAGAGGTAGCGCTTGCCAAGGGTGAACCAAGAGCGACCGCTGAGCGTGGGAATTTCACGGCGCAGCCTGCGACTCTCTAGAGCAATGGGAGGATCAGCTGGTTGGGCCAAAGGGCCAAAGCGTGAGTTCGCCGCCCAGGTCGTCCTCTGGCGCCGCTTCCCAGCCCGCCCGGGCGCTGTCCAGGCCCCAGACGACCCTCCAACGTTGTGCCGGGAAGGCCCCGCGGCACGGTGAGCACCGAGAACTCCCTTACCGTTCTCAATAGTGAGAATTGAATGGACGCCGGGTGGGCCCGGCCCGAGACTCAGCTGTGGGAGCTCAGCTCTGCTCTGCAGTCAGAACAATTTCCGACGCCCACATCTTTACCTGTACTCCCTCCTTCCCTCAATCCACCCCCGGAAAAAAGAAATGTCAAATGTATTCAGCTGCCTCGATTTGTAATTGCTCACTTATTAGACTGTACTAATCCTCAGAACAGGGACCTTTTTTATTGGGATTATCAAAATCCTTAAAACACTGGAAGACTCACACCCAGGCAGGCCTGAAGTTAGCCACATGGGAGCTACAATTCGCCTAACACACACCTATACAACATGAATTTTCCACCTAAATAACATAAAATTTGAAGACACTCCCTACGGAGACACTATTTTCTCCTCACATTTCCAAGTAGAGTCGGGTTAGTGCTCAGAAAGATATTTGTTCTCATGTTTTAGAAGTTTAAAATAAATGAATTAGATTAAAAAATTAAGAGCGAATAAGTCATTTCGAAGAACAAACACAACCTCCCAGTGAGAGAGGGAAAGAAAAGCTAGAAAGAAGTTATTGCTGAGAATATAAAAGCGGAAGGGAAATCCTCTGCCTCATTTATTTCTCCCTCAACAGTTTTGTAAGAAAACGTCTTGGGCTCAAAGTAGTTGCAAAGAAGTGTCCCGTAGCACAGCCGGGGCGCACGGGTCCGGTGCTGGCGGCTGTGCTATCTGAATCCTCTCTGACCATTACCGCTGCTCAGACACATTTTCAAACCAGAGGTGCTAACGTCAATCTGGATTTCTCAGTTTGCTTCCGAAGGTGGGGGACGGGGACCCAGGGTGGGGCTGCGTAAACTCGGGGACACTTGGGAACATTTACTCAGGAAGTGAGAGGAGCCGGCTGCTGGAGGCTGGTCCTGGACAGCGTGGTCAAGGGACCAGGGCTCAGGTCGGTTCCGCTGCGCCAGCCTTCGCCGACCGTGATGTAAGTACAGTGCGGGCGGCGGCTCCCGGTGAGTCACTTCGTGAGTGACAGTCAGTCCCGGGGGTCGCGCTGGGGTCAGAATCAGAAGGAATGTTCTGTCCCCGGAACCGCTTGCAACCGGGAGTTGGAGGTCCTCTGGCCCCGCAGAGGCTGGGTTGCAGGCATCGAAAACTTCCTGAACACGACCAGTACGAACTTGATCTTGAGCTTCCGAACTCCAAACGCCTGGGCAAGAATTCAGCAAAGCGTAGCACCGCTCACCCGCACTTCCCCCAGCTAGCGGTTGCTGTTTCTTGGAAGACGCGCTTATCCGCCCCGTCCTGGGTGAGTGGGTCATTTTGCCAAAGAAAATGTGGTTGGGGGTGCCTTCGAGTAGACTTTCACTATTAAATAAGTGCACCTCAGTGATGGATTTGTTCCAAATTGATGTCTGACTTTTAAAATAGCGGTGGCGAGTGACAATACGAAATAATCAGTGTCACGGGTTAGCAAATCAAACTGTCTCCTAAATTATGGCAAATGTTGGCTTTATATCTATTCAGGGAAAAGGGGGAGATGGAAAATTTTCTCAAACCTAAAGTCTCCAACAAACTCATATCCAGATAAAACTTCCTACACGTGACTCCCACACACACGTTTCGACCAGGAAACTTTCATTTACCAGACTCTCTCTTCCTGTTAATTTCTCCTGTCTCTTTTCCCCTCCCCAACCTACTTTCGGCAGTTTGGAAGGCTGGAGATTTTTGTTAAGGACACTTTACACTGATCTCAGTTAACCGGCAGGCCAAGCTAACCAGGCAAAGAAGGAAAGACACACACACACACACACACACACACACACACACACACACACACACACACGACAGCGATTTCCAAACACTCTTTCTGCTTTAACTTCCTAATCCCGTGCCTGTTCAGGAAGGGCCTCCGAATAAGTCTCCGGCGTGGGTTGGGGAGGGGGGGTTCGAGTGCCTAGTGCATCTCCGGCCCTGCTCTCCCTCCTCCAACCGCCTCCCTACTCTGCAACACGTAAGCATCACGAAACCTCCTGCGAAACATCTGGATGGGGACTCGTGTCCCAACATCTGGGCAACTACCGCCAAGGCTGACTTCTAGGGAACGAGTGCGGAAATGCATGCGGGTGCGGGAACGCACCACTCAGTAGGGTAGGACCTCTCCCAGCGCTCGGTCACTGCAGTATTCTTCCCACCGTCTGCTCCTGTCACCAGCCCCTAACTCCGCCCCTCTGGGCCCGCCCCTTGTTCCGCAGCCAATGGCAATCCCCGACCGCCCTACACCGCCCAGAAGCCTTTCCACACCCCCACGTCTTGGGAGAGGGTTGGCTGCTGAGAGCTCGGCGAAGTGCCTGTATTTGCATGGCGTTCGGGATTTTTGGTAGGTAGAGCAGCCCGTCACTCTGGAAGGCCGGGACCGCCCACTCCACCTCGGTCCCCAGCTCTCTTCCTGCGCAGTTCGCCTCCGCAGCCTCTGCGGGGAAGTGCCGGGGCTGCTCCAGGCTCAGTTCTTAGGACTGCAAGGAGGCAGCCCCGGCGTGCGGCGGCGCGCACCGTCTAGAGTGGCCAGGGCGCGGGAGTGCAACGTCCTCCAGGCCCCGAGCGCGTCGTCGCGCCCCAGGAGCAGACCCTCGGCCAGCAGTTACCGCCGTCCCGACTTTGCGTTGCAGTTGCAGCTCCTGCCGGGCAATATGTCAAGAGCCGCCGCCGCTACAGCTGCCGCCGCCACCTGGGGAAGAGCAGCAGCAGCAGCGGCGGCCGCGGGCACGCGGGGGCAATAAACCCAGCCACACAGGCGTCCAGCGGGCCGGGAAACCCTCTCTGCGCTCACTGCCTGGCGGGACCCACGCCATGTGCTGAGCCATGCCCCTGGTCGCGCCCGCGGGCAGCGCATGGGGCAGCGCCTGAGTGGCGGCAGATCTTGCCTCGATGTCCCCGGCCGGCTCCTACCGCAGCCGCCGCCGCCCCCGCCGCCGGTGAGGAGGAAGCTCGCGCTGCTCTTCGCCATGCTCTGCGTCTGGCTCTATATGTTCCTGTACTCTTGCGCCGGCTCCTGCGCCGCCGCGCCGGGGCTGCTGCTGCTGGGCTCCGGGTCTCGCGCCGCACACGCCCCGCCAGCCCTGGCCACAGCTCCGGACGGGACGCCCCCCAGGCTGCCGTTCCGGGCGCAGCCAGCCACCCCACTGGCTTCAGGCAAGGAGATGGCCGAGGGCGCTGCGAGCCCTGAGGAGCAGAGCCCCGAGGTGCCGGACTCCCCAAGCCCCATCTCCAGCTTCTTCAGTGGGTCTGGGAGCAAGCAGCTGCCGCAGGCCATCATCATCGGCGTGAAGAAGGGCGGCACGCGGGCGCTGCTGGAGTTTCTGCGCGTGCACCCCGACGTGCGCGCCGTGGGTGCGGAGCCCCATTTCTTCGATCGCAGCTACGACAAGGGCCTCGCTTGGTACCGGTGAGTTTCCCTGCCAGGGGCAGGGTCTCCATCGTCGATTCAGACCCTGAGCGAAGGGAGACATGGCGTATGATAGGGAAGTGGCAGTGTTACCGCTTCGGACCACCCGGGGCGGGGCAGGGAAACCACCGCAGATTGCGCCGCGCATCCTGTCTGGGTGCGGTGAGGGTTGCGCTCCGCTCGGTTCTCGTCACAACACCAGAAAGTTCTCGCGGAGCACTGGCGGCTCAGTGGTCTATGGTGCCCTTGAATTAATCAGGCGACCTCGCCGCAAAGAAGAAGGGCAGCGTCTGAGACCGCGCTCAGCAAAGCGAGCCACCCTCCAACCATGGCGGTATCCGACTCGAATAGTATTTTATGACCCGTCTTAAATTTTTCCTCCCGGAGCCCGAGACGCTGGGAATGTTCTGCGCCCCTTTGGTTGGTCTCCGCCCTCAAACAACTTCTAGAGCAGCTTCTGCTTCCCAGATGGGGAGAGGGGGTGGGGGTCGTGGCGTCCCGCCGAGGCTGCAGAGTCTGTTAACTTTTTGTTACAGTCCGCCTGGTTACCGGAACCCCAAGGGGGTCAGACCCGCCTCGCTCGCGAGCTGCCTGGGCTCGGGAGGGTGAGCTGGGCGGGTGGCCCGGCACCTCCGCCTGGCGGGCGGGCGGGCGGCGCGCAGAGCGTGGAGTTGTGCTGGTCCCTGTCGGGCAAAGGCGCGCACTGCAACCGGCTGGAGCGGCGCGCGGCTTTGAAGGCGTCCGGGCCCCCGGGCACCGCCGCCCGTTTCCGCCTCCCTGGCCTCGGTGCTGGGATAGCGAAAGCAAGGACGCATGTCTCCGCGGGGCTTTTACACGTCCGGGGCAAAGAATATTCGGGGGCCCATTGATTGAGAAATGAGGGTTGCTTTGAGGTCGCGGTTTCCGGAAATTCTGTTCTCGACTCGGGTTGCGGGTCAGGTTCCAAAGGGACAGCGGCCCCTGGGTCATAATCACTACCTCTGCCCACTGCTTTCCGCAGCTGCTGGTCTTTGGGGTGAGCTGTTGGGATTCCCGAGCTTCGGGTAAGGCGCGAGTGGGCAGGAGATCTAGATTTCGACCTCCGGTAACTGTCTTCAACCAGGGGCCCAGGTACCGACCCCCACCTTTTTGTTGGGGTCTCCACCCGCAACCCCAGCCAACACGACGTTCAGGCACCCCTCCAGGCCCAATTAGCTTCACAGAGGCTCGAGACTTGGGAAAACAAAAGAGGAGAAGAGAACTGAACCCCTCTCCCTGTGCCCACCCCACTCTCGGGACCTGGGTGGGATGGAGAATAAAAGAGGGCTGACCCCGCGGATTAAAACCGCTCCCTTCCCAGCCTCGTCCTACCCCTTCCCCTTTGTCCTTAATGTTTTTTATTATTGTCAGGAGTTGCCCAAGTCTCGAGGTTTAGCCAGCTGTGACAGTCACCCTTCCCACCGTTCCTGGGCTGTGACCCATTCTCGGGATACTGGTGGACAAGAATGGGGGCTCTGGAGTCAGACGCCTGGATTCACGTCCCGGTTAGTCGCGTGAACCTCGATGCTCTCATCTGTGCAGTGGGAATAATGCAAGTTCTGGGCAGGAATGGGAAGAGTGAATGCGCTGGTACGGTAAGGTGCCTCGCAGGCACGTGAGGACCTCTCTAATTGTTAGCTATTGTCATCGATTGTATTGTTATTACTTCTACCACCACCACTCCCCCTCCTCCTGGGATGGTGATTCCAGGGCCGGGCGGCAGGCTATAACTAGCGCCCTTCCAGGTGGAACCCGCCAGAGCCCCGAGGCAGCCTAGGATTTTCTGAGATCAGACACACTTGGGGCCGGGTTGGGAGGAACTGGCAGGAAAAAGACTGAACCCTTAATGTCAGGCGGTTTTGAAGCACCTGGGGCAAGCTATGGAAATCCCCACAGGAGGGCTCACGCAGTCTCTTAGGCGGCTGCCCTCCACCTGCCACGTTCTTTTTGATTGACCGAAAAACGCTGAATGAAGAACGAAGTCGCATGGAAACCCTCGCCGCGCGCCAGCAGCGGAGAGCGCAGCCCGGGAGGTTCGGGTGGGTACTTGCGCCCGGGGGGCTGCTCTGCGAGCGGCCACGCACGGCGGCTGGACCTAGGGGGTCGCAAGGGCTTGGCTGGGCCGCCGGAGGCGGGAGGTTCTTCGTCCTCCCGAGCCATCTCTCTGAACTGACAAGCAGGACTCCCGGGTCCAGGAGGCACAGGGCCCGGGGCGGTGACCCGGCGGACCGGGCGGCCGGAGGAGCCCACTGTAAATGCCGCAACTGGCCCCAAACACTGCGTTCCTGGACTGCACCAGCAGCGCCTGGCGCGGCCGCAGGGTTGGTGGATATTTTCTAAGGGGGAAAAAATATTTTAAATGCTATCTGTTTACTTTAAAATTTTTAATTACTTAAGAATAATGAATGGATGTCTGGGCAAAGATATGGACGTCACAATTATTTTGAAGGCGACCTTTTTAACTTTAAACAGACCACGCCGCCAGGAGGAGACTCCTGACCCAGAGCGCTTTACCTGAAATCTGGTGCGCAGAGTGCACCCTTCGCCCTCGTTGGAGTTCTCTCCTGTCTGCCAAGCTTTGCTCCTTGCCAGAGGTGTGCGCCATTGTACCTCCGCTCTGTCCCTGCAGTCAGGCAGCCAATTGGAGAAGAGTATAAATAGTAATTAACCAGGGAGAGTTGTAATTCAGAAACCTGGTTAAAACAAGTCCTCAAAAACTAGAGAATATGAGAGTGGGGAGACATTTTGAAGGCATTAAGAACAAAAAAACGATGGGCACGGATGGTTGAGTCTGAGGATCAGCATCGTAATCTGTTAGAGAACGAGGTCGTGGCTGTGTCTGGGAGTCGTTAACGGGTTTAATCGGTTGATACACAGCCTGCTAGTGGCCTAACCAGTAGCCCAGGGCCTGGCAGATTTGCATGACATCTCGGAATTTGATTGCTCTTCCTTCCACTTGGCAAAAGGAGACACCATCAGCAGGATCAGGAGGGGTCACGGAGAGATGGAACCCACCGAGGTGGTGCCCAGAGCTGACCGTGCCACTGGCCAGAGAGTGGGAGCCTTTCTACCTCCTTGACCCCGCAAAAATCAAACGTGCTAGTACGGACTGTCCATCCACACTGGAACTGCAGTTGGTTTTAGTCTGCGATGATGACTCTTCTCGGTTGACTTTTCCAATTCGTTATGCAACCCTCTTGAATCAGGCCTCCCAAACTTAGCAGGCACCACAGAGAGGTTCATCAAGCAGGCTGGTGAAACTGGGTGTTATCTCCTGTTCCATGGGTACCCCATAGTGTTTGGGAAACATGGGGCTGTGTTTCAGGACAATTTCACATATGCCAAGGTGGAGAAAGCACCTGCCCTGTACATTTACACTTGGGATGTTAATTTAAACTTTGAATGGTCAAAAAAATAAATCTGTAACTTTTAAAGTTTCACTTTGTGATTTTACTGAAGTGTTGGTAAATATTCTGAAATTTTAATGACCTCCGTTTGGGAATTAAGTTAGCGAAATATTGCGTAATTATTGTTTGTTATACAAAAATATGCCTTAGACTGTACAGCGGCAGAAACTCCCTCTACGACCTCTGCCTCCCTTTCCCATTCTGGGTTATACAAAATAAGCTGACACTTTAATGCTCTGGCCAACATTAAACAAAGTATATTGTGTGTGTGTGTGTGTGTGTGGCATAATAATGGTGGTAGCTAACACTTACCGAATGTTTTCCCTATGTGCCAGGCACTGTTTCAAGTTTTACAGGATTAGCAAATTTAATCCTCATTACAGTTCTGTGAAGTAGGTACTTTTACAGATGAGGAAACACAGGCACAGAGAGGTTAAGCAATCTGCCCAAGATCTCACAGCTGGGAAGAACCAAAGCTAATGTACCAACTCAGGCAGTTCTGCTTCAGAGATCATTCTGGATCATTCTGGATCACGCTTCCTCACTTAAGTGATCGAAGCGGGATATTTATCATATAGCATGGGTCCAAAACTGAGTTTGCCTTAGAAGAGTTTGACAGCTTTCTGACATGCCTTTAGTGGTCTCAGTGCAGACTGCAGATTTTGTCATTCACTTGAAAACAATATCAGCCCCCAAACAGGCTAGTTACTACATCTAACATTGGTTAATAACTAGAGTGAGGATAATCACACCACTGTGTCAGTTTCATTTTCCTGCAAAGGACAGTTAGAATCAAGGGAGTCACTAAAATGACAAAAAATCCCTCAAGCGTCCGGACAGAGAAAACATAGTGAGTGTCCCTCTTGAGATTTATCTTCTGCCATTTGCCCTTTTTAAGGCTGGGAGGTTGTGGGGTTAAATGACATGTTCCAGAACTTCATGGAATTAATTTATTCATAAAAAAGAGTGCCCTCAAATCAAGTCCATAATTAACTTGTACTGATTAATCAGCAGACAATTACAGCTAACACTTTCAGCAGATATTTTTAGAATGAAAATAGAAAACTCTGTAACTTCAGAAATCTCTCTCTTGAAGGCTAATAGCTGAAAATAGCAATATTCCCTACATTTTCAATGTAACAAATGCTGAGAAAACAAAACTGCCCCCTATTTTTCTAGTCTACTTCAGAAAACCTGGTAGCAAAGAATGTTTCTGTCTTCACTGAGGGAAATTTAAGATAAGATCTGATTGGGGATAATCCATTTTGAAGTAATTGCACTCTCTCATCCCAGAGTTTAAACCAAGTATGTAACTCACTTCCAAGATGCTGGGTGAAGATTAAAAAAAAAAAAAAAAATCTACATTTGTATGCAACAATTTGAAATACAAACCATCATGTTACAAAGCTGTCAAGATTTATTAGCAAGACAGTGGAGCATGTGTTGAACTCTGTTTTTAATTAGGCACCTAAATTAGACCATAAAATGGTTGATTAATCTTCTACAAGTTGAAGGGAAAATATAACATAAATTAACCTAATCATAAGTGTTTTCCCAGATGCTCTGAGTTAATAA